GGAGCGTGGCTCTCGGGAGTGTGGCCCTCGGGGAGCGTGGCTCTCGGGAGTGTGGCCCTCGGGAGCGTGGCCCTCGGGGAGCGTGGCTCTCGGGAGTGTGGCCCTCGGGGAAGCGTGGCTCTCGGGAGTGGGTGGCCCTCGGGAGTGTGGCCCTCGGGGAGCGTGGCTCTCGGGAGTGTGGCCCTCGGGAGCGTGGCTCTCGGGAGTGTGGCCCTCGGGGAGCGTGGCTCTCGGGAGTGTGGCCCTCGGGAGCGTGGCCCTCGGGAGCGTGGCCCTCAGGGAGCGTGGCCCTCGGGAGCGTGGCCCTCGGGGAGCGTGGCTCTCAGGGAGCGTGGCCGTTGGGCTGTGTGGCCTTTGGAGACCGTGGCCCTCAGGGAGCGTGGCCCTCGGGAGCGTGGCCTTTGACCACCGCGCTCTGCCTGGCTCCGCTGCCCGTGGTAAGCAGACGCTGCACCGGCTCCTGGCCTGCTCTCAGCTCCACGCGGACCCAGACGCGCCCGCTCTCGGACAGGGCCTCACCCCCATGCGTTCCTTCACTGGGTGAAGGCTGAAGACCCCTGTGCTGCCGGTGCGTCGGAGCCCACGTTCCGATTTCTCTGAATCCATGGCAAGAGCCCGCACCGCTTCCTGGTTTCAGAAATATTGACGAGCAGATGGTGTCGCTGTGCAGATTCCGGGTTTTGTCGGGCGTGCAGGTTTTAAGGAAAAGGTATGTGTGCACATGTGTGCTGGGGGCATCCCAGGGAGCTTCGGGGGACACGGATTTCTGTCCTAAACTTTTCCTGGGGCCGGTGCTGTGGTGCAGACGGTCAGGCCCCCGCCTGCAGCGCCGGCTTCCCATACGAGCGTCGGTTCGAGTCCCGGCTGCTCCACTTCCGATCCAGCTCCCTGCTGTGGCCTGGGAGGCAGCAGTGACGGCCCACGTGCTGGGCCCTGCACCCGCGTGGGAGACCCGGATGGAGCTCCTGGCTCCTGGCTCCAGCCTGGCCCAGCCCCGGCTGTTTTGGTCATTTGGGGAGTGACCCAGCAGTGGAGACTCTCTCCCTCTCTCTCTCTCTCTCTCTCTCTCTCTCTCTCCCTCTCTCTCTCCCCCCTCTGTCTGTACTCTGCCTCTCGGGTAAAGAAGTGGGGAGACGCGCAGGCTGTGCCCCGCGTGCCCAGGCGCTGGCTCTGCTCTCAGCAGGAAGCACCACACCCGCTCCCCGTGCACCCGGCTTATCGCGTCTGTGTCATCTCAGGCTGCCTGTTCCCTCCTGGGGTTGGACCCACGAAACCTCAGCTCAGTGCAGCCGTGCACACAGGAGCCCCGGCAGGCAGTTTCGTCTCTCTTGTAAAAATAAACAAAACAAAACAAAACAAGAAACAAAACACGCTTCCATGCTGGGAAGGCATCCCAGAGGAGCAGGCTCCCCGTCCGCTGCCACAGCGCAGCTGGAGATGCGTTTCTCATCTTTGTTAAATCGAAGAGCAGGGGCGGCGCTGTGGCCTGGAGGAGAAGCCCCCACTGCAGGGCCGGCATCCCACACGGGCGCCGGTTCTGGTCCCGCTGCTCCACTGCCCATCCAGCTCCCTGCTGTGGCCTGGGAGGGCAGTGGAGGATGCCCAAGTCCTTGGGCCCCTGCACGCGCGTGGGAGACCCGGAGGGAGTTCCTGGCTCCTGGCTTCGGACCGGATCAACTACGGCCATTGCGGCCATCTGGGGAGAGAGCAGCAGATGGAAGACCTCGCTCTCTGTGTCTGTCTCTAGCTAAGCCTTCCAAATAAATAAATCTTTTTAAAAAAATCAGAGAGGAGGCCGGCGCCGCGGCTCACTAGACTAATCCTCCGCCTAGCGGCGCCGGCACACCGGGTTCTAGTCCCAGTCGGGAAGCCGGATTCTGTCCCGGTTGCCCCTCTTCCAGGCCAGCCCTCTGCTGTGGCCAGGGAGTGCAGTGGAGGATGGCCCAGGTACTTGGGCCCTGCACCCCATGGGAGACCAGGAGAAGCTCCTGGCTCCTGCCATTGGATCAGTGTGGTGCGCCGGCCGCAGCGCACCAGCCGCGGCGGCCATTGGAGGGTGAACCAACGGCAAAGGAAGACCTTTCTCTCTGTCTCTCTCTCACTGTCCACTCTGCCTGTCAAAAAAAAAAAAAAAAAAAAAAATCAGGAGAGCGCACGGGGCTCACAGCAGCCTGCAGGGGCCCAGCCCCAGATCCAGCCCGGGCGTCCATCAGCGGGTGGGTGCTACACATGCAGTATTTAAAAGCGATCTCATTTATTTAATTGAAAGGCAGAGTTACAGAGAGAGATGGGGGGGGGGGGTCTTCAATGCGCTGGGTCACTCCCCAGATGCCACAATGACCAGAGCTGGGCTGATCCAAAGCCAGGAGCCAGGAGCTCCACCCGGGTCTCCCGCGCGGGTGCGGGGGCCCCAGCACGCTGCCCACCTTCCACTCCCTCCCAGGCCACAGCACAGCCGAACCGGAAGTGGAGCAGCCCAGACTCAACTGGCGCCACAGGCGGGGGCTCAGCCCCCTGCACTGCACCACAGCGCCGGCCCGCACGGCATCACACGGCCGGGAGGAGGGAGGCACGCGGGCACCCCGACGGCACAGGCGCAGAGGACCCCCACGGTGCCCCCACTGCCGGGGAAGGCCTAGGGCCGGTCTCCTGAGCAGAGCGCCCGGGACGCCTGTGCACGCGCGCCCTGGGAGACGCCTGCCCCCACCCTGCGGAGGAGCCCGTGGCGGCCCAGGTCAGAGACCGCAGGGCGCCTGAAAACAGGAAACACGGCGGACTCCCGCCCAGCTCCCCAGGGCGGCTGCTCAGGGACTGCACGAGTGACACGGGCGTGCGTCTCCACACCCCGGTTCCGTCCCTGAGGCCGCGTCGGGGCGAGCTTCCTGGGAGGATGTGGGACGTGGCCGTGATGGCGTTGACTGATTCAACACTGCTTGTTTTATTTCAGAGGGGGGTAGGGAGAGAGAGAGAGCGCGTCCCGCCCACCGCTTCACACCCCAAATGCGCACCCCAGTTAGAGACCCACAGCAGGAGCCGAGCCCCGTGCAGGCCTCCCTGTGGTCAGCAGGTGCACAGGGCCCTGGGACCTCACGGCTGCCGTCGGGGCGTGCAGGAGCAGGGAGCGGAAGCAGGAGCCGGGCTCCCCCTGGGCTCCCCACACGGGTGGCCGGGACCCAGCTGCCTGAGCCCCCACCTGGAGGTCAGAGGTCACCATCACCCGGGCAGGCAGGAGGTGGTGTCCCAAGTGTCGTTTAGGCTCCGCCCCCAATGCGTTAAAGCACCAGTGCTCTCTCTTCCTCTTCCCGCCCAGACCAGTGGGTCCTGCGTTGCTACGGAAACGCCGACACCGCCCACCCTGGAGGCGTCCTCGTCCGAGGAACCACAGCCAATACGCAGAGTGGCCGGCCTGGACTTTAGGTCACAGCCTCGCCTCCAGCGAGAGGAGTGGTCAGCCCACGCGTGCGGGAGGAATCAAATACAAAGCCCAGACCGCGCGGGTCTGAAAGCGTTTCCATGGTTACACTGCGCGGTGCCGCCCCACGGCCGACTGTCCCACCTGCCAGGAAAGCTAGCAAGGGGCTGGGTGGGTGGTTTGCTTGTTTAAAGACTTATTTATCTGAAAGGCAGAGAGAGAGAGAGAGAGAGAGAGAGAGAGAGAGAGAGGGCCTCCCTCTGCTGGGTCACTCTCCAGATGGCCATGGCAGCCAGGGCTGGGTGATCCGAAGCCAGGAGCCGGGAGCTCCTCCAGGTCCCCCCCGTGGGTGCAAGGACCAAGGACTTGGGCATCGTCCACTGCTCCCCCAGGGGCATTAGCAGGGAGCTGGATCAGAAGTGCAGCAGCCGGGACTCGAACCAATGCGGGTGCTGACAGAAGCCTGACCGCTAAGCCAGAGCGCCGGCCCCAGGAAACAATTTTGTACTTGGTGACTCAGTTTTTACAAAATGAATGCAGGTGGGGCCAGCGCTGTGGCATAATGGGTTAAGCCTTATGCAATGCTGGCAGCCCATATGGGCGCCGGTTCGAGTCCCGGCTGCTCCACTTCCGATCCAGCTCCCTGCTGTGGCCTGGGAAAGCGGTGGACGATGCCCGAGTCCTTGGGCTCCTGCACCTGCATGGGAGACCTGGATGGAGCTCCTGGCTCTGCGTTTGGATCGGCTCAGCTCCGGCCACTGTGGCCGTTTTGGGAGTGAACCAACGGATGGAAGACACCCCCCCCCCCCGCCTCTCCTCTCTCTGTGTAACTCTGACTTTCAAATAAATAAACACATTTTTTTTTTAAAGAAAAAGTGAATACAGGAATCAGATGGTGATGATGATTACAATGTATATTATCTTGCACATAGAAAGGATGTGACGTGCTGTTAAACTGAGATTACTTTTTTCTTCGTAAGTTCTGAATTAAAAACTGAATTAAAAACCAGAGGCGGGGCGGCATTGTGGGGAGTGGGTAAAGGACCGCCTGCGATGCCGGGAATCTGGGGAGTCCTGGTGCTGTGCTGTGAGCTGGAGCTCCCCCCCGCCCTCCCCCAGTCACCCTGCGTGACCCGTGGCTGACCCCGCGGAGTCTCCCCTGGCACATGTGCACCCCGGGACGCGGAGCCCATGATTCAGGGTCCCCGGGGGCCACCATGGGGCAGGCTCGGCCTCCTCCCATCCCCCGCCCAGGAGCCAGCGGCACAGGCGGAAGCGCAGGGGCGGGGGGCGGGTGCTTTTCTGGTGGCGGCGTCCATCCCCTGCCGGCTCTGGGGTCCAGGTGTGGGCGGGGCCCTTCCCGCCTCCCCAGCTCCTGGTGGCCTTGGCTGTGGCTGCCTCCACCTTCCGTGGCTCCTCCCCGTCTGCGTCCCTCTTCTGTGGCTCCCAAGGACGCAGACATGGCAGTCAGCATCTTTGTCTTGAGGCACTCGGGTCATCCCCTTTGCAAAGCGCCGGTCCCCCAGTCAGGCCTGCCGCAGGTTCTCGGTACACGGGACCCGGAACCAGCACCAATCACGCGTGACAATGCTTCTCTGTATTTATTTCTAATCAATAAGGACAGGCACAGGCGCACACGTGGGGTGGCCCAGTGGCTCTCACAGCCCCATACATGTTCCCACCCTGCAGGAGGCCGGAGCAGGCTACCCAGAATCCATCGCAGCAGAGGTCCCCACGGTCCTGGCTTCCTGGTCTGTGCCCTGCGGCCTTCAGCACTGTGTCTGTCTCTCGAGGGAGCCAGGAAGCCAGCCCCAGGTGGGTTATGTATCTCTCTCTCTCTATGCATCTGTGTATCTCTATGTATCTATGTAGCCGGGAGCCTGGGAGCCCCCTGCGAGCCGCACACGTGGGAGCCCCACTGCTTCCCCAGATGGATCTCAGAGGTCGGAAGGGCCTCGTCATGGCCCGGGGTCTCGGTGGCCCCTTCCCCCCAAGCCAGGCTGGGTGGGCGCTCCCCACGCCCCCGGGCATGGCTGCCGCGGCGCCTTTCCTGAGTCACCTGGGGTCCAGCGCCCTACATCGCTGTTCCGACGTCGCCGCGGCCAGCATGACACAGCGACAACGTACAGGTTCCTGCACCCCGTGCTGCGGGGACCAGAGCCGGAGACGGGGCGCACGAGGTGCTGCTGGCCCCCAACACCAGGGCCTGCTGCTGACCGCAAGGCGCAGTCCCCAGCCGGAGACACTGGGCTCGCTGGCGGGGTTTTAGGAGCCCAACCGCAGACCCGGCTGGGCTGGGAGGGCGGAGACGTGTCCTGCCCTCTGGGAGCCCCTGGGTGGGCGCCGCTGTCACCACGGCCCAGAGAACACCAGCATGCGACCCGTCCACTTCCCCTTGCTTCCGCCTCTCCGGCCGCTGCAGGAGGCTGGGTGCCCCCCCCACCGCCGGTCCCGGCCGGGGGTCAGAGCTCGCTCTGCCGTCTCTCGAGGCAGGGCCGGCTGGCCGCGGGGGAGCGCGCCGAGGACAGCGTGTGGGCGGAGACGCGGCTGTCCCCGAGCGTGTCCTGGCGGCTGCCCGGCGGCCGGCAGCGGTGCAGGTAGCCGCGCAGGCGCCGCTGGAACTCGCGGGAGGCGAAGTAGTAGACGAAGGGGTCCAGGCAGTTGTTCAAGCAGCTGAGGCAGAGTGTGAGCTTGTACACGTGGTAGTAGCCGGCGCCGAAGAACAGGCGGCTCACCATGTGCGCCAGCAGCACGAAGTTGTTGGGCGCGAAGCAGGTGACGAAGGCCAGCAGCACCACGGCGGCCAGGCGCACCGCGCGGCGTCGCCGGTCCCGGCCGTGCGCCTCGGCCGCCCGCAGCAGCGTGCGGATGGTGGCCGCGTAGCAGGCCACGGTGACCACGAACGGGACGAGGAAGAGCAGGACGAAGATGGAGAAGAGGAAGACGGCCCACATGGCCACGCTGGGCAGCATGGTCCACGGCAGCACGTCGAAGCAGGTCACGATGCCCAGCGCGTCCACGGTGTAGGTGAGGTCGGTGCGGGCCAGCGGGGACAGCGCGACCAGCAGCAGCAGCCACGTGCCGGCGCAGGCGGCCACGGCGTAGCGGCGGCGGCGCCAGGGCGCCGAGGCCAGCGGGTGCACCACGCCCAGGAAGCGGTCCACGCTGAGGCAGGCCATGGTGAGGATGCTGGAGTACATGTTGGCGTAGAAGGCCACGGTGACCACGTTGCAGAGCCGCCGGCCGAACACCCAGTGGTGCCGGTTGCAGTGGTAGAAGATCTGGAATGGCAGCACCGCGGCCAGCATGAGGTCCGTGACGCTCAGGTTGATCATGAAGATGGCCGAGGGCGACTTGGGCCCGATGTGGCGGGCCAGCACCCACAGGGACAGCAGGTTGCCCGGGATGCTGACCACGGCCACCAGCGAGTACACGGCCGGCAGGGCCACGGCGATGGCCGGGTTGCGCAGCATGAGCAGCGTGGTGTTGTCCGGCCCGGACGCGTTCCTGTCCATCATCAGCATCTCCATGGCGCTCAGGCAACTGGGGCGCGGCTGCAAGAGAAGGAGGGGCGTGCGGGTGAGTGACGGGCGGCCGAGGAGGGGTCGGGGTCAGATTCCAGAAGTCCTGGGGGACTAAGAGAGGTGGCCGTCGGCTCCCTGCCCACCCCAGAGCACGCGGGAGAGCACAGAGAACCAGTGTGGACCGTCCCATCACACGGCTCAGAACACGCCATGGAGCATGGAACTAGTGTGGCCCGCCCCCATCACACGGCTCAGAACACGCCAAGGAGCACAGAGCCAGTGTGGCCCGCCCCCATCACACGGCTCAGAACACGCCAAGGAGCACAGAGCCAGTGTGGCCCGCCCCCATCACACGGCTCAGAACACGCGGGAGAGCACAGAGAACCAGTGTGGCCCGCCCCCATCACACGGCTCAGAACACGCCATGGAGCACAGAGCTAGTGTGGCCCGCCCCCATCACACGACTCAGAACACGCCAAGGAGCACAGAGCCAGTGTGGCCCGCCCCCATCACACGGCTCAGAACACGCGGGAGAGCACAGAGAACCAGTGTGGCCCGCCCCCATCACACGACTCAGAACACGCCATGGAGCATGGAACTAGTGTGGCCCGCCCCCATCACACGGCTCAGAACACGCCAAGGAGCACAGAGCCAGTGTGGCCCGCCCCCATCACACGGCTCAGAACACGCGGGAGAGCACAGAGAACCAGTGTGGCCCGCCCCCATCACACGGCTCAGAACACGTCATGGAGCACAGAGCTAGTGTGGCCCGCCCCCATCACACGGCTCAGAACACGCCATGGAGCACAGAGCTAGTGTGGCCCGCCCCCATCACACGGCTCAGAACACGCCATGGAGCACAGAGCTAGTGTGGCCCGCCCCCATCACACGGCTCAGAACACGCCATGGAGCACAGAGCTAGTGTGGCCCGCCCCCATCACACGGCTCAGAACACGCCAAGGAGCACAGAGCTAGTGTGGCCCGCCCCCATCACACGACTCAGAACACGCCATGGAGCACAGAGCTAGTGTGGCCCGCCCCCATCACACGACTCAGAATACGTGGGAGAGCATGGAACCAGTGTGGCCTGCCCCCATCACACGGCTCAGACATGTGGCTGGCAGACAGCCCTGTCGCTCTGGTCCCTGCGGTGCAGCCATAGCCAGGGCTGGGCTGATGGGAGCTCAGAGAATTGTGGGATGGGGCCCAGGTCAGTGTGCACCTGGACCTGCCTTCCAGCTGTGTGGTGGGCCTGTGGCCTTGCTCTTCCACAGGCAGGGTCACTGGATCCCTTGCTGGATCACTGCATCGTGGAATCACTGGATCTCTCTCACTGGATCTCTTGATCCCCTGTCAGATCATTGGATCTCTCTCATTGGATTGCCAGATCCCTGGAACCCTCACTGATCCGCCAGGTCATGGGATCACTGGGTCTCTCTCACTGGATCCCTGGATCCCTCGCTGGATCACCAGATCCCCCATCAGACCGTTGGATCTGTCTCGCTGGATCGCTGGATCACTCTGGATCCCGCCTGGGCTGTGGCTCTGTTCTGCAGGTGTCTGAGGCGACGCTCCTCCCTGCACGTCTGGCTCTGCAGAGATGGGTGCCCAGACGCGGATGGGTGCACAGTCCCGGGGGTCCTGGAGACTCACCTGGACCCGTTGTCCACTGCCCAGCCCGAGCTCGCGGCGGCCTCACATCCGGCTCGCTCTGCGCCGCGGGCAGAAGCCCGCGCTGCTGCCTGGAACCTGGTGCCGTCCCACGGCCCCTCCGGCCGCCCCAGCCGCGTCACAGGAGCAGCCCAGCCAAGGCATGGGTCGGCAGGAACGCCCGCCCAGGGGCCAGGCGGCCCCGACGCGGCCTCCCAGAGCGCCTAGGTCGGACTCCCGCTTCCGTCCGTGCCGAGCGCTGCCTCGGTCTAAGCACCTGCTGTCTGCACTGCTGCAGCTTCCTCCGGCTAATTTTAGACTCCCCCGAGTTGCAGTTTGAGGGTGAGACGCTCAGCTCCGGCAACGCCCAGGCGGGGCTGCCACAGCGAGTCGGCCACTCCCAGCCCAGGAGGAGAGGTAGACACCTGGCCGGCACAGAGACACCTCGTTCCTGCTCACAGCACGCTGGGGGCAAGAAGAGGGGGTGAGCACGCCGCGGCAGCGGCACGGCACGGGACAGACGGACGTGTAAGGAAACCACCCTTGTCCAGGGCTCGGGGGCATCGGGGGAATCTCATTTCTGCTCTGTGCTGTGCCGGCTGCTGTGGCCCTGCAGATGGCTCACTGCCAGGCACATTTGAATGCCACGCACCGTTGAGGCCGGCGACAGTTGCTGCACCCGGCAAGGCAGAAATGGGTGCAGAGTCCCTGGCCCGCGTCCCAGTCCCCCTCAGCCTGCCCGCGCATCAGCTCCGCCTGGCTGGCTGCCGTGTGCATCAGCACCCGCCTGGGACCCAGCGGGAGGCCCCTCTGCCTCCCCAGAGCGCCCTGGGCTCTGCAGACACCTGTCCCCTGTGGGCGGCCCACGGCGGCCTGGGGCATCTATGGCCGGGACAGCCCGCCCGCGGGCGCTGCGGCTGCCGCTAATCTGCTGAGAAAGGACCTCTAACGGCCAGCTGCCAGGTCCCGGAAACAGGAGGTGTTGTGGTTAGGGCCCCAACGAGGCAGGCGGCGGGATGGAAGTGGTCCAAAGTGGGCGTGGCGGCTGCTCCCAGCGGCGGCTGGAGCCGGCTTCGATCGACGCTGCACCAGCAGGTGTGGCTCGGGGAATGGCATGGACACCCAGCTGCCTGGAGCAAGGTGGCAGAGCACGGGCAGGCGCTCGGCCGCCGCAGACGGTCCCCGAGGGGGAGCAGTCACGCCAGCCTCAGCGCAACCAGCCCGGAAACGGGGGCCGCCCCTGCCCCGGGGGCCACCGAGCCTCTCCCCACCGACATCTTAAAAAACAGCTCTACTGAGGTGCAGTCTACGCGCCGTATGCTCTCGCCCGTGGAAAGCGTGTAATCTGGTGTCTTCCCCTGGCCTCACCCACGTCAGCAGTCCCGGCTGCTCCACTTCCCATCCAGCTCTCTGCTGTGGCCCGGGAAGGCAGTGGAGGATGGCCAAGTCCTTAGGCCCTGCACCCACGTGGGAGACCCGGATGGAGCTCCTGGCTCCTGGCTTCAGATCTGTCTAGCTCTGGCCATGTGGCCATCTGGGGAGTGAACCAGAGGATGGAGGACTTCTCTCTCTCTCTCTCTCTCTCTCTCTCTCTCTCTGTAACTCTGACTTTCAAATAAATAAATAAATAAATAAATAAATCTTTTAAAAAAGACCCTCCCTAGTGACACCTGCAAAGACCCTGTTTGCACACAAGTCGCCCCGCGCAGGTCTGAGGATTAGGCACGGAGCTCTGGTCTGAGGAGCCCGCTCGGCCCCCGCCGTTGCCCGCAGGGACTGTTCCCCAGAGCTCGTCCGAGCCCCCGAGGCTCCAACATCGAGACAGGAGAACTCTACTGGGGGAAGCCGTCAGGGCTGGCTTGTCCTCAGGTCCCCCCGCCCCCCCCACCAGGGTAGCAGCGCCCCCGGACCCTCGCTCTGCTCCACCGACATCTGAGCTGAGACGTCCGGCCTCAGCCTCGTGCCCACGGGGCTGGGGACATTCCTGGGGACACGTGCCCCATGAGAGCCCAGCCTGCCAAGGCAGAGCACGAAGCCCCTCCCTTCTCTCAGAACCCGAGAATCTCGCCCGGCCTCTGGCCAGGCGCAGCTGAGGCTGGCCCGGGGAAGTCTGTGACCCAGTCGTGGGGCCGGGGAGGCCTGCCCAGAGGAGCCTCTGCCGGGTCTTCCCGTCCACGTGGGCAGCTCGCGGCGCCGGGGAGACCTCGCTGGTGGTGGTGGGCTGACTCGCGTCTTCCTCAAACTCGGGGTGCGCAAATCTCAGCCCGTTTCCTGATGGCTGGAAGTATGTCTCTGAGCCAGTCACTGGTCACGGGAGGGGCCGGCGTCCCACGCGGGCACGGGTTCGAGTCCTGGCTGCCCCACCTCCGATCCAGCTACAGTGAGGCCATTCGGAGTGGGACGGGCCCCTCTGAGCGGACTGCCGTGTGTTTGGGACGAGGGGGTTTGGGCACGGGGCGAAGGCCGTGGGCCGCAGCGGCACATGTGGAGGCGCCTGGATGGGTGTGTGGATGCTGCCCGCGGCTACGGAAAGCCACAAGGAGCCAGGAGGCGGTGTGGAGGTGTCCCTCCCCGGCGCGCTTGAACCTCACACCTACACTGGGTCTCCAGAGCTGAGAGGACACAGTCCTGTCCACGCCGCCCAGCGGGCAGACACGTGTCGTGGCAGCCCCGGGCAGCCCAGGAAGTCTCCCCCCGTGGACTCCGTGGACAGGAAGAATGGACACACAGGACACACACGCCATGCGGTGTAGACGAGAGACAGCCAGGCAGAGCGCTGAGGATTGCCACAGCCCTGGTCTGTGCCCGGCAGGAGCCGCGGTCCCTCCACTTGCTGGCGGCTGAGCTGCCTGATACAAGACGGAGAGGCTGGCCTTGTAAGAGTAAAAGAAAAATTTAGACAGGAGGGGGGTGGGGAGTACCCCACACTCTTCAACCTGTGTGTTGGAAACACATGGAATTTGTCCACCGTATGTAAGTCAACAAATTTTTGAATAAAAAATCCAAGAAAGCACGACTGTGCCACAGCTGAGTGGAAGAACTTGGCACACGAGGCCCAGGTTCCTGGGGCCGGCGCCGTGGCACAGCGGGTAAAGCCCCAGTCTGCAGCGCCGGCATCCCGTATGGGCACCGGTTCTAGTCCCGGCTGCTCCACTTCTGATCCAGCTCCCCGCTATTGGCCTGAGAAAGCAGCAGCAGATGGCCCAAGTCCTGGGCCCCTGCACCCGCGGGGGAGACCCGGGTGGAGCTCCTGGCTCCCGGCTACGGATCAGCTCGGCTCCGGCCGCTGGGGCCATCTGGGGAGTGAACCAGCGGGAGGACGACCTCTCTGTCTCTGTCTCTCCTTCTCTCTGTAATTCTGCCTCTCAGATAAATAAATAAAATCTTTAAAAAAAAACCGACCACCCCACCTCTACGAGAGACCTTGACGAAGGAATGAGCCGGCTGTAGAAGACACTTGATAAAGGACGGGGATCCGAAAGGCACCAGGAACAGTTAACTCCACGCCAAAGAGAAGCAGCCCCCCTCGGTGGCAGAGGGTCGGAGACCTCCACAAACCCACGCCAGGAAGGAGACGCGGTGGAGAGGCGAGCGCGCCACGGGGCAAAGCCGAGACCCCACCGCCTCCTGCCTCCTCGCTCCCTGACAAAGCGCAGGTGCAGCGAGACGCTCCCACCTCCCCCGTCCCGCCCGAGCTGGCGCAGTCCGCGCGGTCTGGCGGGGCCATTTGCATGCAGCCGTCTGTGCAGACCGTGCCTGCTTGGCTCTGCCCGCCCCAGGACAGCAGCCGGGTTCCGTTGTCTTTGATTTCTGCGCCTTGAGGTGCGGCGCCGTCAGCACTGGGGTGGGTTCCGCACGAGTCAGAAGCCGGGCGCCCCGGAGGCAGCAGGGTTTTTCATCTGCGGCTGTTCTCCCGGCAGAAGCAGCCTGAGCCCGCGGGGCTGCCGGGCAGGAAGCCACGGGCGGCGGCGCGGGCTGATTACCATGAAGTCATTCTGTGAGCTGCCGGGAAGAAGTGGCCGAGCCGGGTGTGTTGTGCAATTCAACCACATCCCCTATCCCGAGCCGATTGCCAACGGTTCTGGAACATTCCGCCGGAGCCCTGTCGTGGGTGAATGGGAGTCGGGGTGGGGGCCTATAGATTTGCATATTTGCACTGCCCAGGGAGAGAGGAGTGGGCTGCAGGGCAGGCTTCGCACACTGCTGCTCCGGGAAGCCACCCTTCCTGAAGCCCTGTTAGCGCCGCCTTCCAGGCACATACACACTTAGGTTCCACCTCGTTCCTTTTCCAGCCATGGAAAATCAGTGCAAGGAACCAGGTGGAGCCGGGAGGAGCCGGGAGGAGCCGGGAGGAGCCGTGTCGCCCCCGCCTTAAGCCTGAGGGAGCTTAAACTTGAGCCGCGGTGGCATAGCCCTCGCTCGCTCACTTAACCCAGACCCCCAGCGCCGGAGCGTGACGGTCTCGGTGTCTCCTGCGCGGCGGTGTTAAAGCTGCCGCCTGGTTCAGGCGAGGTCTCTCCAAGGTTCCGGGAGCACAGAGATGCGCTCCGTCCCGGCGCTGGACAGCTCTGTGCACTCAGCTGTTTCCAAAGCAAATGCGGGCGCCGGACCCTCTGTTCTGCCCTCAGCCAGAGCCGGGACGCAGGCACAGCTCCCCAGGTCCCACGCGCCGGGAGACGCGGCCGGGGAGAACTCTACACCCGCGTGTGTGCTTGTCTCTCTTGCCCTTCATCAAAACCACAAGGCGATGCGCTTCCACGCGGTGCCCGGCTAGAGCATCAGACGCGCGTTTTTGTAGAGGTTGGGCGGTGCGCAGGTGCGGCCCACGTGTCCTGTGCAGGTTAGGGTCAGGGTCAGGGTCAGGGTCAGGGTTAGGGTCAGGGTTAGGGTCAGGGTTAGGGTTAGGGTCAGGGTTAGGGTCAGGGTCAGGGTCAGGGTTAGGGTCAGGGTCAGGGTCAGGGTCAGGGTCAGGGTTAGGGTTATGTCACCCTCCCGGCGCTCTCCAGGGTGCGACCTGTGGACCTTGGGGAGGCGGAGGGGGGGTCAAGTAAGGTCATCAGGTTGATTGGATTCTGGTGGCTTTAGCACAAGAGGGGCCCAGGAGACACGCGTTGCCCTGGGCCACCCGGGACTCTGCCAGCGTGAAGCCGTCGCCAGCTGTGGCCCCGCAGCCGTGGACTGAGACGGCGCTGGGTGCAGGTGGACGTGGGAAGGTGAGGGCCCACAGAGACGCAGAGTTGGGGCTGCGTCACAGAGAAGACAGAGGGGCGGGCCCAGGCCCGCGTCGAGAGCCGGAGTTGGGCCGTGACCTCTCCCAGCAGGCTCGAGGCTTTCCTTGCCACCGGGGGTCGACCCCGCGTCCTGTGCAAGACGGAGGAATCGGGCTGGTGTGTTGGCTGCTGAGAGCAGAGTCGCTCCCTCGGGAAGAAGTGAGGGGCCCCCCAGGGGCGCCCGGGGGGAATCTGGGAAGCCAGGTGTGCACACGGCACCCTCGCGGTGAGCGGGCCCAGGCGAAAGACTGCGGATGCATTTCAGGACCGCTCAGTCCTCCGCAGGCGCCTCTTGCCGCCGTGTTTCTGCCGGCGCTGGCAATGGCGCTCCCGCCACTGCTGAGACCGGGCAGCGGGGAGCCGCACCCCGCCCAGGTCCACGGGCTGCTGTCTGTGTTGCCGTGGAAACGTAGGTGCTTCCGGGGCCCTTAGCATCCTCATCC